CTCTGCCCCACCCAGGTACTACCTGCAGCCCCAGTGGGTTTTTGACTCGGTCAACGCCAAGCTGTGCCTGCCCGTGGCCGATTATTTCCCCGGGCTCCTGCTGCCCCCGCACCTCTCGCCCTTCGTGACGGAGAAGGAGGGTGACTACGTCCCTCCCGAGAAGCTGAAGCTGCTGGCCCTGCAGAGGGGAGAGAACCCAGGTGCTGGGAGCCCCCAGAGGAGTTTGGGAGCTGGGCTGTGCCTGCTGCGGAGCATCCCAAGGGTAACGATGGTGTCTCTTTGTAGAGGAAGAGAGTGAAGAGGAGGAGGAGGAAGAAGAGGAGGAAGAGGAAGGTGACAATGACAAAGAAGAGGAGGAAGAGGAAGATGAGTCTGAGAAAGAAGAGGAGATGAAATTACAGAAGATAGAAGAGCAAAAGATGGAAGAGCAGAAGACTCAGAGCACGCAGAGCAAAAAGGTGGGAGCCCATGGTGTCACTGTCCCTGCTGAGGGGTGTCCCTGTCCTGGGACCGCTGGGAAACTCAGTCATGGAATGGTTTGGGTTGGGAGGGGCCTTAAAGCTCATCTTGTTCCAGCCTCTGCCATGGGCAGGGACCCTTCCTACTGTCCCAGGTTGCTCCAAGCCCCGTCCAGCCAGCCTGGAACACTCCCAGGGGTGCTCCTGGCCCCCCACTCATGAGCTGCAGCTGCCATCCCTGTGGGGGCCTGGCTGTGAGGGCTGTGCCTCTCCCTGGCCCGCAGTGGAAGGGCTGGAAATGCCTTTCCCATGGAAGGAGGGGATTCCTGGTGTCCTGAGCTGCCTGGCTCCCCACAGGTGCTCCCTGTGAAGGTGACAGCGGGGAAGGTGCGGCTGGAGGACAAGCAGCGCCTGGAGCAGGAGCAGCAGCAGGAGGAGAAGCGCTTGGCCATCATGATGATGAAGAAGAGGGAGAAGTACCTGTACAAGAAGATCATGTTCGGGAAGAAGCGCAAAATCCGCGAGGTACAGAGGCTGGGCCCTCACCTCATCCTGGGGCGGGCTCTTCCCAAACCCACTCATTCCTTCCACCCCTCTCTGTCCCTGGTGAAGGGTTGAGGTCCCTGCCAGTGTCCCCAGGCAGGCAGAGCTCCCTGTGTGCCCTCCCTGTATCCCAGCCCTGATCCCGGTCCTGTGGGGCCCATCCTCCATGTGCAGCTGGAGCTTGGGTGGGTCTGAGGGCTTGCAGCCCCTGTCCTGCTCTGACTGGGGGTCTCGGGGGTCTCTCCCCAGGCCAACAAACTGGCTGAGAAGAGGAAAGCCCACGATGCAGCCCTCAAGGAGCAGAAGAAGAAGAACAAGAAGGCGCGGCAAGCGTGACGGGGCCGAGGGCTCCTCGATGGTTTTCCACTGTTGCCTTTGGGTGGAAAACCCCTGGCTTTGCTCCTGGGGCAGAAATGCTGTGTTTGAAACGTTTCCCATCTGTAAATCCACCTGCTGCTCTGCCTTTGCCCCGCTCCTCTCTGCGGAGTCGGTGTTACAAGGACTGTCCTCTCCCTGTTGGTGCCACCTCTGTGTGAGGAAGAGGAGGCCAAGGAGAGCTCTGGGATTGTTCCATGTGAATTTGCACAGCCCTGGCTGCTGGAGCCTGGCTCCCAGAGCTCCCCGGGGCAGAGGAGTGTGGAGCCCAGAGCTGCTTCCCAGTGTCCACACAGAAAACCATATTCCCCTGTATTTTTATTTTTAATTAAAGAAGGTGATGCTTCTCTGGTGGTGTTTGTTGTCTGCTCCTTCTGCCTGGGTGTGGGGGAGGTCACTTAGGAGGTGGGGTGGACATCCATGGCTGGTGCCAGGGTTGCTGATGCTGCTGGATGTGTTCCTGGCACCAGCAGTTACCCGTCAGTTCTGGGTTTTCCCCCAAAAACACCTTGGAGGCACCACAGCTGGGGACAAGGTGTCTCATGGGATTTATGGACACACCTTTGTCCCCAAATGTGGTGAAGGCTCTGTCTCACTCTGAGGAATTTTTGGAGGACATACCTGGCACTGCCATGGCAACACAGAGAGGATCTGGAGAGAGACAGCCCCTGGAAGGGAGTGAGCTCAGACAAGAGCTGGGAACACCCAGACTTTCAGATTTCGTTTCTTTTTAGTTTCTTTTCCTAAATATTTTTTCCTTTTTTTTTTTCTTTTTTAAATTTTTTATTTTATTTAGGTGCTTTTCTCTTTTTACTGTTTCCATTCTCCCTGTTTTCCATTTTTTTCTTTTTCATTTTTTTGTCTTCTCCTTTTTCCTTTTATTTTTATTCCTTTTTATTCCTTTCATTTTTTCATTTTATTTTTCCCCTTCACTCCTTCCCCTGCTTTTTTTTCCCTCCCTTTTTTTTTAATCTCCTTCCCCCTCGTTTCTTTTTCTTTATATATTTTTCTCCATTTCAGAGGGAAGCCTTTTCCCTTTGTTTTCATGGTTTTCTCCTTGCTTCCCCCTCTCCCAAGAGAAGCAGGACCAACCCCTTCTCCCTTTTTTTTTACCTCCGTCCCTCTCTTTTTTTTTTTCCATTTCAGAGGGTTGGAAGGCTTTTCCCTTTGTTATCATGGTTTTCTCCTTGATTTCCCCTCTCCCAAGAGGAGCAGGACCAACCCCTGGGGCAGCCCCAGGGCTGGGGCTCCCCTCAGAGCAGGAGAGCCCGAACGGGGCCTTAAACCTTGGGAGCTCCTGGCCCAAACAAACAAATCCTGACCCCAAACAAACAAACCCCAGTTCTAAACAAACAAATCCCAGCCCCAAACAAACCAACCCTGGTTCCAAACAAACCTCAGCTCCCAAAACCCCGGCCCCAAACAAGCAAATCCCAGCCCCAGGCCTCGCT